ATGGCAAACCATGATGGTGCTGGAGACACCTGATCTGGTTGGCCTTGCCCCTTTTGAAGCGTGACCAATTCCCCCTTTCAATATATGTACTAACCGGCATCCTTCTGGGAAATCTTTTTGTGCTTATTACATCAAATTAAAGCAGCTTCGCCGATGACCACTCTTCATTCTTTAGATCTGACATCCTTAAACCAAATCAACCTTAAAAGTTGCCTCATTGAAACTGTTTTGTTTTGTTTTGTTTTTATTCTAAAACCCCTGTTTTTATGGTCTCCATGGTAGGGAGTTCAGTTAAAGAACAGTTCCAATGACTCATATGGAACTATTTTAGAAACCAGGTCTGTTCCTTCTCACCCTCAAATGTTTGCTCTTACTGTTTTCTTTTTTATCATTATAGTGTAGCACGCTGATATCTTCAGGAGGTATCATTAAGCTATAATCTATCATTTGTCAAGAAAGAGTGAAAACCATTCTATCAAATTCATCAGTACTGCAAATGACTTGTAAGACATAATGAACAATGCAAAAAGCAAACTGTGGGTAGTTTATTTCTAAGATCCCCATTATCTGTTGGGGAAGGAGACATGATAGCAGTAAAAAAACAATAAGCAGTTAAGATATAAGTCTTGGTGAGACACCATTCAAATTCTGGAAAATAATTCTAAATTAAAATGCCACCAAGTGTGGCTACACATTAACTGGAATCAGTCAATTTAGGAAGAACTATCAACCTGGCTGGAGTGAAGAGACAGACTTAATTAAAATACTTCAATGTGGCTGAAAACTCATTTTCATAGTCATGCTGAACAAATGCCTGAAAAATTAAAAAGTTAATAGATTGATTTCTGTTTATTTTCGCTCTTTGTTAGGAGTAATATATTGTTCTGTGTTCACTGTATTCCCAATACTGTGGTCTCCATTGCTAGGGAATATAAATCAATAGAAGATGCCATTTCTGCACTCAAAGAGGGAAGAAAACTTATAGGTAAAAGACAAGTGGAGAACAATTTCTGCAGCTCCCAGCAAAACAGGAAATTTTTCTCCCTCCTGAGCATCATGTATAACTATAAAGACATATTAGGTTCTTAATAAATAAATGTTGATTGATGAATAATCATGTGTAAGAATATACATCATAGACCAAAGTTTCCTGAAGTAGTGTGACTGTAGTACATGGTAAAAATTTCACTATGCTAATCCAAAAGGAGTTCATAAGAGTTGACAGGAGGAAAAGCTTAATAAAAAAAAATACTAATTTATAAGACAATACACAAAACATTGATTAGCATTATCAAATGTAGGAATATATCTTCTCAAATGTTATACAATCAACACAGTCTCTGAATCTGTTCTCAACTTCAAACCTAACATCATTCATTCATACTTGACATGATCTCCCAAACCACTTACCAGGATTTGGGGACATGGTAGGGAGTGAGCCCTGCCACTTCTTAAAGGCACATGGATAATCATAGTGCTACAGTAACAATCAAGACAACCTAATTTTTAAAATACATTTTAGAAGAAAATATATCTGTAGCCATGATTGTTTCCCAGCAAACCCCGATGAACACTTAATAGATACATTGGCACAGCGTGTGGGCTCTAGAGAGATTCAGTTCATTCCTGGCTCTGTAACACAGTGGCTATCTGAGGTTGGACAAGTGAGGTAATACTTCTAGGCCTAAATAGCTTCAGACAGTAACAATAATGGTGATAAATGATAATAATGACAATACTGATATCTACCCCCATGGGATTGGTGTTAGAACTATGGGAGAATAAAGTAAGAGTTCAACAAATGCAACCCTTTTTGAAAATGATGGTATAAACAATAAGGACCATAATATAATTGAGCAAGTGGAGCCAAAATCATGAGATGGGATGGGGACTAAAGCTAAGCATTGAAGGAGATGTATGGGTCCTACCACGTGACTTCAGCTTATATTTAAACTGTACTTGGGCACCTGGCTGGCTCAGTCGGTAGAACATGCAACTCTTGATCTTGGGATTGTGTCTCAGGGTCCCGAGTCCAAGCCCCATGTTGGGCATTGAGCTTACTTTAAAAAAAAAAAAAATGCACTTAACGTGGCTAGCTTAACAGTAAACATTTAACAAATATGGAACTAACAACAAGGAAATTAAGGAATGGTATTTACTGACCAAATCTGGAGTATTAAAATTACCTAAAAACAGAAGATTGGCAATTTTTTTTTTTTAGATTTTTTATTATTTATTTGACAGAGAGAGACATAGTGAGAGAGGGAACACAAGCAGGGGGAGTGGGAGAGGGAGAAGCAGTCTTCCCCGCGGAGCAGGGAGCCCGATGCGGGGCTCGATCCCAGGACCCTGGGATCATGACCTGAGCTGAAGGCAGACGCTTAACGACCGAGCCACCCAGGCGCCCCAGAAAATTGGCAAATTTTTGAGATTCTAGGCCAGGAGGCAGATTTCCCAGTAGCAGCAAAGCAATGCTCTCTCTCAATATCAACAATGACAAAAAGATGGATTATCAAGAAGGCCTCAATTGCCCTATGTTGTGATCTGATAGACCGAATCCCTGATTTACCCCCCTTTACATTATTTGATTCTGATCTTTCTATAGCAAATCCAGCCTATTTGGCCCTCGAATATTCACAGTCCTGCTGCCACCCAATGAGTCCTGCCATCACACACACGTGGAGACAAAGCTACATTTATCTTTCTGAAAGCCATCCCTTTAAGTAGAGCAATGTTACTGTTTCTGTTATCATATTTTTTAGTTTATTTGAAAAATTTGGGTAAGGTTTATATCCCTGTTTCTGATGACATTTGTCTGTTTCTATTGTTTTAAAGCATCAAGTCTCTTTCTGAAACTAAGGCAAGAAGAAATCATCCAGAGTTCCTAACCAGCTTGGAGGTTTCTAAAAGACAGGATGGCCCCCGGCAGAACAATTAATACCACAAGGTTTGCCTTATAGAATCCACAAATTCCCATCACACACTAAGCCACTCCCAAGGACAATTAGAGATTCATCGATTAAAGCCTGCTTCAGAAGATGATCAAATCATTTCATTCACTCTAAGTTGAGATGCAAACAGTTAACAAAGTCCATGTTATCACCAGGTTCATGGAGTGTCATCTGCTTAACAGATATCAAGGAAGGGAGATGTAGAGTTACACGCACATGCAGGGGCTGGAGAGCGGGAGAGTAATTCTTCTGATGGTAATTATAATCAAAATTAGTAATACCTGCACAGGCTAATCTTGAAGCTAGAGATGGTAATATTAATCCTAATATTCAATAATCTCTGTCTAAGGACCATGTAGACAAGTTCTTCCCAACCAAAATGTCAGAACATGCCAGGCTATTAAAACTAGTTGCTCGTCATTGGACTTTTCCCTACAGCTTGGGACTTTAATTCTTCACCTTTCTGTGTGGGCACTATGACAATTTCTTCCTGTGTTCCCTGTCCTTTGACATTTCCTCTTTCTTTCATTAGTAATGCATGCCCAGCCTTACCTCATTTCAAGTTATAAAAGGATAGTCCTGCTACAACATAATTTTGTATTACTTTGGCCACAAAATCCAAACAAATCAAATATCTAATATACAAAATCTACATCACATACCCTGGCAAATACAATTATGGATAATTTATGGTCTCTGTCTGTAAGAAAACACACTGATAGAGTGATGGTTAGAAACACAAACAAGAAAAGAAAAAACCCTGAGATTCCTTTCTTTTCAAAGGTCAGATGCTCAAATAAATGATGAGGGATGCCTCTTAGAAATGCTTACAAAAGTTCTTAAATAGGGACAGTAGGCCTGTTGGGTGGACGAATGCATTATGTACAATCATCATATTCTACCTGCTACAAAAAGTGATTCTACTTCTAGTCTACATTAATAGTGGTACAAGGGCCAAATCAAAGGGCCTAACAGAATGACTTTATGCTGCACCAAAACACATGGAGTAATTTTGATTGTTGTTTCATACTTATTTCACATATATTCCAAATTTTAGAAAAAACTGGCAAAGCAGATCATAGGGTGCTAGAAGGAATTCAGCAGTGTATTGATAATTCTTTGTCATGTTTATTACAACGGAAGACCTATGAATATTTGACCTCAAAAAGATCAGGAGCCATTATGAGAAGGAGCAATTACACCTGGCTTATGGTGGGAATAGGCAGCCCATGTTACAAGTGAAAACCTGGAAACTGGACTTCCATCCCTAAGACATTTGTTGAGGGTATTTATGCCTTGAATAGGTGTTAGGTTATATATACTCTAGGTACCTTTAAACTTCAAGACTTCATGTGCCTTTATTTTTTTTTTAAGATTTTATTTATTTATTTGACAGAGAGGGACACAGCGAGAGAAGGAACACAAGCAGGCTGAGTGGGAGAGGGAGAAGCAGGCTTCCCACCGAGCAGGGAGCCTGATGCGGGGCTCGATCGCAGAACCCTGGGATCATGACCTGAGCCAAAGGCAGATGCTTAATGACTGAGCCACCCAGGCGCCCCTTCATGTGCCTTTAGAATCCAGTAAGGACAGAGCTGGAGCTAAATATTTAGGAAATCCAAATAGAATGGAGAATTGAACTAAACAGAGTAGTAGAACTCTACAGAATGGAAATGCACAGAGTATACAACTATGAATCCAGCTGAACCATCATTACCCTCTGTTCTTGCCCTCCTCTGTATTATTATGGAGCTATTCATCCAAGCACTGCTCAATCTATGTGTTCAATGTACTATGCTTACTCTAGATGAGACTCTCTAGGTCACAAATGTTTAAGTGTGCCTCTATTTAGAAAAGAAAAATTTATAGATTAAAGATGCTATTTGCACAGAGGCAGCCCAAATAGCTATCTTTTCCTGGAGAGCTAATTCACTTGCCGTTGTGTATTTACCAAGGGCCTCCAAAGTGGTAGCAGGCATGTTCACACCAGGATTTGCCACGATGATCCACTGGTGTGCAGGGAAAACTAGTACTTCATTAGTATATTCATCTAAAATTAAGGATGTGACATTTACTTGATCACAAAGGTGCTTTTCACAAAGGCGAGGCTTATCCATTGCACTCTAGATGTGCTGACCCCTGCAATTTCCCCAAATGTGGAAAACTCGAATGCATAATTTGTGATCGTGGGGGAGTGGGCTCGCACTCTCCCCTGACCGCTTGTGCCTAAAAACGTGGTGCTCTCACTCTTTGTAGTATTCTAACCCTTGTCCTTTACTGTTTGAGAGAGCATACAAAACTCTGATGTCTATTATGAGTGCAGCTGGTAGGGGACTACAGTATTTCAACTTTATTAAAAACTGCTTCTCTTAAAAAAAAAGAATGTAACATATTTACTAACATTTACTATATGGATTGACATGTCATAGAGCAAACATCAAGGACAACGAAATCTAAGGGCAGAGTGACAGTTCTACCAGATGGGGGCACTGAAGGTCATTACTTATTAGAGTATTACAAGGTGGGCTTCTGGTTAAGAGTTTTTATAGAATATATTATTTCAGCTATTTGAACTCAAATAACCCTTGCAATATGGAAACGTACCTTTAAAATATGCCTACAGGAAACCATAGCTGACCTATAATATCTATCATTAAAGTACGTGAGAACAACAACAAAAAATCTCAGAACTGACCCTTTTCCTACAACTAAAACAAGGTATTACTTACATTTGAGAATAAAAATAATAATGATCTAATGAGATCAGATAAGATCCCCAAACAGAAATTATCAAGAATACTACTGAAAGTATGAATTTGTATCCATTATAACTAATGATAAGCCTCACACTGAGTCTATTTTCTGCCTCCAGCTAATAGCCCATGGTAGTATGAGGATAACACTATGAACAAAACTTTTTAAAAAGTAAGCCAATAGAACACCATGAATAAAATTCTAGTGGCAGGAAAATGATGTTACACCAAAAATGAATGAAAAATAAGTTAAATATTAGGGTTTTTATTTTTACCTTATACTTTTTAAATATCTACATTTGTATATGTTCTTAGAAACATATTAGTATAGTAGAACATGTAGATAATTTGTATACATACATATAATATGTGAATACATTTTATATATACATACTGAAGATAGACATAGATATGTTGGGGGTTCAAAACATCAGCTGATAAGAAATATATATATCATATGCCTATATAAATATATATTTGTGTGTGTGTGTGTGTGTAATAACCGTTTTATTTAGAAATTTGTGGTTTCTAAATAAAGACATAGATATGTTGGGGGTTCAAAACATCAGCTGATAAGAAATATATATATCATATGCATATATATATATTTGTGTGTGCATGTAATAACCGTTTTATTTAGAAACTTGTGGCTTACCTATAAATACTTGGTATTACAGGACTCTGAAAGATTAGGTAGCCCATGATTAGATTTTTTTCTTATCTATTTATGTACACTCAGGTTAAGCCTTTGAATTGTTTACCTAGTTTTTCATGGTAACCTGAAAAAACCTCTTAAAATCCCATGAACATACTGCCTGCATTATATAAAATAGTAAGAAACACTTTTACACAAGTTTACTATTCAAATAATACCTTTTCCCACAATAGCTGATATTTAAAAATATTCAAAAAGCAAACCAGATAATCTGTATTCTAAACTCTCAATGATTAACTTCTATCAGTCAGGACTCTTAAGTCTGAGACTTTAATTTTATGCTGTTGCAGTTCCAATGGCTATGCCTATCAGATGAATATCTCCAGGCCAAAGCAACAATCTCATCTGTATTCATTATTGTCCTAAATTACAGATATTAAATATACATAAACCATGAAGCCACGTGGTGATATTTCTATGTTAACACTTCCCAACTGACTCAAATAGGTTGTGTTTATACATCCAATTAGAGAATTGAAAAAAAAATAAACCAGCACCTGATACCAATAAAGAGATGACACAATTGTATTTTTATGCATCATGATTTATTCATATGCCACGCTTACACAGGTAAAAATAGGTCGAAATTGAAAACAGTAATTGTCAGTGTCTATGGTAGTAGTAAAATAATCAATGAAACCAATTTTACATTCGTTAATTCCCACACAGGTTAATTTAAAGCATTTTCAAAATAATTAGCTAGCGAATTAAAGTTCTGTCTTAGTCGGGTTTCATGTGTTTGAGTATTATATTTGTTTAATTTTTTAGAATATCACATTCTGGGGGCGCCTGTATGGCTCAGTCGGTTAAGCGTCTGCCTTTGGCTCAGGTCGTGATCCCAGGGTCCTGGGATCAAGCCCCACATCGGGCTCCCTGCTCAGTACGAAACGTGCTTCTCCCTCCCCCTCTGCCTGCCCCTCTGCTTACTTGTGCTCTCTCTCTCTGTCAAATAAATAAATAAAATCTTAAAAAAAAAAAATGGCCAAATGCTATCCTATCTCTAAAAAAAAAAAAAAGAATATCACATTCTGTACCTACACCAGTAACTTTTATCTTTTAATAATAGACTTTATTTTTTAGAGCAGTTTTAGGTTCACAACAAAATTGAGCAGAGGCTGTAGAGATTTCCCACATACCACTTACCTCCATGCATAAATAATCCCCCCATTATCAACATCCCCCATCAGAGTGGTACCCAGGTTACAATTGATAAACCTACACTGACAAATCATAATCATTCAAAGTCCATAGTTTACATTATGGTTTACTTTTTGTGTGGTATATTTTATATAAGTACATGATTCCATCTATGTGGCCAAATTTATAATGGCATGTATCCACCATTATAGTATCATACGGAATAGTTTCACTGCCCTAAATATTCTCTGTGCTCCAACTATTCTCCTCTACCTCCCCTTAAACCTCTGGCAAGCACTGATTTTTTTTACTGTCTCCATAGTTTTGCCTTTCCCAGAATGTCATGTAGTTGGAATCATACAGTATGAGGCCTTTTCAGATTGACTTCTTTCACTTAGTATATGCATTTAAGCTTCCTCCATGTCTTTTCAATGCTTGTTAGCTCATTTCTTTTCAACACTGAATAATAATCCACTGTCTAGATGTACCATAGTTTATTTATCCATTCACCTATTGGAGGACATCTTGGTTGCCTCCAAGTTTTGTCAACTATGATAAATAAAGCTGCTGTAAACATTCATGTGCATATTTTTCTGTGGACATAAGTTTTCAATTCTTTGGGCAAATACAAATGGGGACAATTGCTGGGTCATATAAGAGTACATTTAGTTTTGTAAGAAATAGCCTAACTGACTTCCAAAGTGACAGTACCATTTTGCATTTGCACTGAAAATGAATGAGAGTTCCTGTTGCTTCCCATTCTCTCCAGCATTTGGTGTTGACAGTGTTCCAGATTTGACCATTCTAATAGGTGTGTAGTGATATCTCATTGTTTTAATTTGCATTCCCCTGATGGCATATGATGTGGAACATCATTTCATATACTTATTTGCCATCTGTATATCTTCTTTGGTGAAGCTTTTGCTTAAAAAAAAAACTTGAAAATTCTACTAGTTTGGGTTAAAAATGTTAATATGAAGTGTTTAAAGACTACAGAAAAGCAACAATAGTATGTAGCAGGGAACTTTCTGCCCCTAAGCTGCACAGGAAATCCCACTATAAAATTTATTAGCTGGTTTTCCAATCAGCTCAGCCTTAATGTTCAAACTTTAGGGGCACCTGGGTGGCTCAGTCAGTTAGGCATCTGCCTTCAGCTCTGGTCATGATCCCCGGGTTCCTGGGTTTGAGCCCCGTGTCAGGCTCTCCGCTCAGCAGGGAGTCTGCTTCTCCCTCTCCCTCTGTCCCCTCCCTCCCTGCTCATGCATTCTCTCTCTCTCTCTCTCAAATAAAAAAAAAATATTCAAACTTTAGAGAACACTTACCCAAACTCAGCAGAGGCAGCTTCTCCCCTCATATTGGTATCAGTTTGCTTATTGCCCATCTCTCCCTGCTCCTCTTTAAGCACACTTTCTCTTATCCCAATATTAATTATAATGGCTCAATAAAAATAGCTTGAATTAAGGAGAAATCAATTTAATTAAATTCTGATGATCTTGAAGGCTTGTCCTTGAAATTATCTATGTAGTTCCCAGAAGAAAAGAATCAAATTAATTAACACTTTTCAAATAAAGGGATTGTACAAATCCCTTGTACAATCAAGTACTTAGTCTAAATTTAGATACTCACTAAATGCTGCTCAGAGTAAAATGTTAAATACAAAGAGATATTATGAAAACCTTCACTTGAAAGAAAAACTGTGCAAATTTCTCACCCTAGTAACCAAATGAGTGCTTACCACCTCTTTCTTAGAGGAAAAAAAAGATTGTGGGTTTTGAAAAGGAGAGAGAAAAAAAGATCTGTTTCAGATGCTGACTTTCCCATTCACTAGCTGTGTTATGTGGTGGGTTACCCAATCTGAATTTCTTCATGTGTAATTGGGAATAATGGTATATAGTCATGTCATCCCTGAGAGAATTCAGTGAAATGATGCTTGTACAACACCCAGCACAGTGCCTGTCACAAATTAGGAACTTCATAAGGGAGAGGTTCTATTCATTCCATAATTTATCAAAAAAGGGCATGAGGTTAAAAAAAAAAGAAAGAAAGAAATTTAAAAAAACACATACAAATAAAGCAAAGCAAAACAACATTGTAGTGAGAAGTCCTTAAATTCTACTTTCTGCATACACAAAAATTTCAATTTCCTATAAAATGTTGTAATTTCCAACTAAACTACATGCTAAGTGAAATAAGTCTGTCACAGAAAGACAGTGCATGACTCCACTTACATGTGGTCTCCAGAACAGTCAAACTCATAGCACCAAAGAGTAGAATGGTGGTTGGCAGGGGCTGGAGGTGGAGGAAAGGCGGAGTTGCTAATAAACAAGGATAAAGCTTCAGTTAGGCAAAATGAATAAATTTGAGACCTGCGCTGTACAAACCTGTAGTTATATATATATATTCAGCAATACAGCATCATTGCCTTAAAATTTTGTTTTAAAAATTTTTTAAAGAAGTTATATCTCATGTTAAGTGTTCTTACCATCATAAAAGAAATTAATAATGAAAAAATAAATAAACTGGTACATCTAGGTCATTCTCAGAACCCACTATAGCTCCTTAATAAATAAGTTGCATTTCCCTTTAAAAACAACAACAACAAAAGCTAAA